GTGTCAGTGATTTACAGTTGTCATCTCTGTTTTTCAGTGTCAAAGGGCTTTTTGTTCAGAAGGGCAATGTTTTGCTATCTACTAATTATCAGTAATAGAATTAAAACCCCCACCATTATGTTGTTGCATATCTGTTGGTCTGAACGCAAAGCAGCAGGCTACAAAGGCAACCAGGGAGAAGAAGAGCAGTTGCCAGCTGGTATCCTGGAGCTGACAGAACAGAAAAGGGAAGGAAAAGGCCTTGTAGCTGCTCCTACAGAATTCCCTGCCCCTGCAAAGAAGCACCTTGCAAGTAAGGGACAGAGGGAGCCAGCTATCTCCTGCTGTAGCACTCTGCTCCTGGAGCTCTGGGAGTGCACTCTCAGAACAGGCGACAGACATATGTAAAACACAAATGAGACTGAGGGAGGAAGAACGATCGCCCTCCATAGTCTCCCTGGAAACTAGCTGGAACACAGCCCTGGGCAGGCTGCTCTTGGTGAGCCTGCCCGAGCAGAGGGACGAGATGAGCTCTCCTGGCCATTCTCTGCCTGCCCCCTGGTTCTGGTAAAACCCTTCAGCCCTTCCTGTAAGCTGCAAGCTGTAGGCCTATATTGTGTGGCAAATTCTGTGCTGCTGAGCCCTTCAAAGAGTACGTGGCTGTAGGTTTCAACAGTACGGCTGCTAAGCACCTTTTAACATTTCAGAAACCTGGGACTTGTTCTGAATGCATGCACGGTTCAGGTTCTCAGGTGACTCGGCAATCCAGCACCTGCGTGCTTGTCAGAGCTCTGTTAAGCAGCAGGGGTAGCAGTCTCATGTTATCCCTTTTCTTTCCTGCTTGTTTAAAAATTATGTTGGTTTTGATGGCTGACAGTGGTTTGCAATCCTGCGCCTTTCCTCCAGGTCAGATTTTTAACAGTAGTGGTATCCCTCTGTTTGGAACGACAAGGGCAGCTCTGGAGAGAGAGAGAATTAGCTGTGGACTTTTTCAGGCAGCTTGAGTACAAATCCCTGTCTCGGACACCTGGGAAGGAGCTGGGGTATCATAAGTGAAGACCCTGGCTTCGATGTTATTCCTAGAGAGAAAGGGCCACTAGAGATTGAATAGTAATGTTAGCTCACAGCTACGCGCTGCGCAGCAATGTTAATTTGTTATCACTGATAATTAAAATTGTTGTCATAAATTTGCACATTTGGGAATATAAACAAGTAATTGTGACACTGGTTGTCCGTAAACATTTTAAGTTGTTGTTTGTACCTGCCCAGGTTGTCCAGAAAGAGAGGTGAACGTAAAGGCTGTGGTAGCTGAACTCCAGAGCAAGTAAAACGAGAGGGGGGAGATACCAGATGTATACTGTTGTTACTCTAATTTCTAGTACCAGATCAATTAGGCACTGGCTTGTCACAAGTTACAGAATTTTGTTACAGTTTACTGAAAATATGTCCTTTTCTGATAGATATTTGATAAACACGTTGGCTCTACTGCTTGTTACGTTGGACTTGTGACTATAAGCAAAAAGTCCGTATTTTCCGAGCTGTTTGAATGAAAAGCCCTTTTCCTTTGAATGATCCAGGTTTGATTCTTGCATGAGATGTGACTCCAAATTCGTTTCGGTATTCATTCACGAAAACGTATAGGAAAAGCAGTGATGATGCTTCTTAAAATTTTTTAATTAAGGATGTCGACTGTTCTAATGAAGTTTACAGTAAAAAAACAAAACCCAACCAACTCCTAAGCACAGTTCTCCTCCCCTCTGGCTTTTTAATCTTATGGAAAAAGTAATTTGCAAAGAGAATGATCTTGTTGGGTGTTTTGTTGGTTTTTTGGTGTTGTTTTTTGATGACTGTAGAACCTGTGCAAAAGTTGCATCACACTAGTCCATTGTTAAGCCTTTCCAATATAAGGGCCAAGATGTGAGGTTGAATTTATTGTGGTGTCAGTCATGCAGGTTATTACGCTAACACATGCATGATTCCATGACAGCTACTTTAATGACTGCACTGCTTCTGCAGGCTCTGGTGTTGGCAGCTTGCTGCCGAATTGTCCCTTGACGTGAAGGCAGCGATGGCTCACCTTACAGCAGTGCAGGACGTGGACTTCCTTTTAATGAACTCGCAGGCTGGGAATTTGAAATGCAAGCTGGATTGCTCTGTAGAGTAATTTCATGTTCCCACATGGAAAAAAACCCCAAACACACAAAAAAATAAACCAAGATAAGGTCCTTTTTTCAAGCTCTTTAGCTTGTAAGCAGAGACCACAGGTTGATGCTATTTTTCATTTGAAAATGTTAATACTGAATCGTAATGGGAGTGCACACAAAAATCTGTCTTTAACACAGTATTGATATGCCACTTATGTTTCGGCGTAATTACAGTAATTTGGTTGTTTCTCTATATGGTGTCACGAATTAGTGGCTGGGAAAGATTAGGATGCAGTGGGATTGATTCAAGGGCTTTTCATCAGGCTTTGTGGTGAACTGGCTTCTTGATCCTGACGCCTGTTAGCTCTGCTGACAGCCCAGCAATGGCCCCGTTATTTCAATTGGCTTTGGTTGCGTTCCTTACCTCAGTTGGTGCAACAATACTGCCGTGCTTCCCGGTCGCCTGCGCGGCGTAAACAGCAGCGCAGCCGCACTTGACAGCCGGGGCTGGCGGAGCCATTAAGGGGTTTTGCTTTAGTGTAAAGTCAGAAACAATACATCAATATTTACATGGCAACCAGAGGCTGGTATTAATTAACTTCTGACACCTGCAAGGCTGTTTATCAAGAGAAACGTCGCTGGGTTAATCCAGACGACACTTGATCATTTCTGTGAAGTCTTACATCTGTGATGCCCCTGGAGAAACGGCGGTTTCTAACCCCGCGTTTCTTCTTGCCCTGCATGTTGCAACTGCATTCTTTTCTGGTAGCAGGAACAGATTTTCAGATAACATATGGCTAAAAATACTTTTGGCTAAGTTATTTTAAACCTTGGAGCTTTTTTAAAAAAATCCTGCGTGAAGAAATGCTTATGTCAGTGAACATAGCTCAGAGGTGTTTCCAGGGTGGAGCCCAGGGAGGAGGCAAGAATTCTGACGTACTGGCTTTTCTGGTGTTTTGTTCATCTCCCTGGAGCTCAGAAACTTTTGACTTCCTTATGTCCTTGGAGATTTCCGATGCGAGGGCGACCTGGCCTGGTGTGTTGGCTGCAGCAGTATACCTACAGCTGCAGAGTTCATTGGTTTAAACGTATTTTCAGGCCTTATTTTATATCCGCAGAGATGCTGTGTATATATATGCTCCATGTGTGTGCATAGATGTGTAAAAGCATACCTATAGCGCTGTATTTGTGTGCCATGGCAGTCAGTGTTGGAACAGTGATTCATCAGGTGGTGGCAAGTAATTTCATCTTATCACCCTAGTTATGTTTGCCCACAGAAGTATTGCTGGGGTTGGAATGAACTGGACTAGAGAAGGTCTGTCATGCAGACTTGGACCTGGTTTCTATTACTTGGATTGTCAATGCCTTTCCTTCTCGTGGAGCCCTCGTATTGTTTCCTACGCTGTTGGTGCCTAGAAGCTTACCAAAGCCTGTGGTCCCTACTACTGTGGGCAATCCTCGTATGGTTCAGCGAGGATCTAATTTTTGCCTGAAAAGTCTGACACACACAATCTCAGTGGTACACAAAGATCGTTGAAGCCATTGCTTCATCCAAGCAAAGCGGCAGAGGAGAGAAATTCTTAGATCAGAGAATTGGACAAACTGACAAAGATTGAAAGAGCAGGCACCGTGATAAGAGTAAAATATGGTTTAGAGAGCTGGTCAGGTTTAGCAGCCGGGAAGGGAACTTACATCCCTGCTTCTTGTCCCTGCTTGCGCCAGTAGGTAAGCGTCTGGCTTGACTGGGATTTATTCTGCATTTCAGTTCTTGCAGGAGAACTAATGTGAGAAACTGCCTCATTCAGTTCTTACTGTGCAACCGATTCTCAGATTTTTGCATTGAAGCCAAATAATCTAAGGAAGTTCTAGCCAAGTCTAGAACCAGGAAGGTCTGTTTTAACTGGTGGTTAAATAAACTTCCTCAGAGGCAGTTGGGTACGCTCTAGTTACTGCTGTTGTGCTGAGGGTTGGACTTGCGTTTTTAAGCTTGATGCGTTTATTCTTTTTCCTCACTCAGGTGAAGATAAAACCAACCAAAGAAGTCAAGAGGTGGAGTCGCTTTCACCCCAAAACTTTGAGCATACTCATGGTGAGGGGGCGGCTGTGCAGGTAATACCGCTGCTCCCTTTAAAAGCTGATGCGAAGGAAGGGTGGAGGCTGCTGAGACAAGCAGCACTTGCTGTTTCGGCTCCTGCACTCTCCTCTGCATGGGCCTACCAAAGCTGGAAGGCGGCAGCGCAGCTTGAGTTGTCCCCTGCGGCCTGTAGAACTTACAGGGTACATGTTCTGTCTGTGCCTCTTCTCTTGAGTGACGCTCGGCTTCCTAAAAGCCACTGCTGTTAAATGTATTGGTGCAGTGTAAATCAGCGGAGAATTTTGCCTGAGAAATGTCAAACAGCTGCATCTGTCTTAGTCTCTCTCTCAGCACTGTGTCTGGTTTTCTTCCTGTTACTGTTCATTTCCATTTCCACAATATTCCTCTGCTTTAATCCCGTTTTCTGTAACGTGTTGTTAACTTTCACACATTTCCCATACACATCTGGAAACAAAATTGTTTCTGTAGAAACCTTTCTGAAAGGTAAGTGTTTTATTGCCCCACAAAGGGGCCGTAGTGGTAGCTGTTAGCTTGTGAATGCATTGCTCTTCAGAAGAACATAAGTATTTGTAAAAACTCTTCTTATCTAGTGTTTCAGAAAAGTATCACATTAAAATCACCTCCTTGAACTCACGTGTGTGTCACTTCTGTGGCCAATGGAAAGCACATCCCTGTGTGCCTGCCTGGAATGCTCCAACATAGAAATGGTACAAAGCCTTGTAATGAAGAAATGACAGTGTTTTCTGAAATGTGATGGCTTGTTTGTTGTTGCAGAAAGATGGAGCCATTGCCACTTTCCATACTGCTCTGCTGATAGATGATGTCAGTGATGTCGAAGCCGCAGCAACACCCCTCCTTGAGACTGAAGAAGAAGGTGCTTTTCATCCAGTGTACAGAGGGACTTCAAATGCTTTCTGTGTCCGTCTGCTTTGTATCGATGAGAAGCATGAAACTCGGTAAGTGTGATCAGCGCTTCCTGCTTTCCCAACCTTAATAACAAACTTCAGTGCTCTGTTGTTAGGACAAACCTGAACGTGGCAGCACCTGCTGCAGTTAGGCTGGAATTTCTGCTGACCTCTCTTCCCATTTCTTTTACTTTCATTAATAACTTACTGAAATTTCAACCTCCGAAGGAACTTCCCATCTCTGGTAAGACTGGGGGAGGAAAAATGGTTTTGTTGGAAAAATGCTAGTTGAAATTGCGGAAGAAGGCTGCTTCTTCCTGTGGAGAAACATGAATTCCAAAGGTGGCTAGCTGCGGAAGAAGCTGTGTGTTCCGGTACTGGTCAGCTCGTTTCACGGGGCAGTGTAGCTGTTTAACGCTGCAATTAAATGTTCCCATTTTAAACACTCACCTCCCATTGCTGAGAGTTGATTCGGTTTTCTAGAATCCAGTATAGCAAGGAAGACCAAGGCTTTTATCTTGGCATGATTGCTGATGCTGACCTTGGTCTCTTTATATAATAGAGTAGAATAGATCTGTAAATGTGATTTAGACACTTTTTCTGCAAAATTATCTCCACCCTTGAAGAGTGAATGTATACTCAACCATATCAGCAAAAGCCTCTCTAGGAACACTGGCCCTTTCTGATTATCAGTGAGCCCTGCTCTCGTTTACAGATCCTAGACAGAAAGATAAAACATATGGAAGGAAGAGGCTGAGCACACCCACTATCTTCCACCCTTTTAACTCCATGTGATTTCTGGACACACAGGGTATCAGTAGAAAGGACATTCTAGATGCTGAGTTTGCCAACTTGTACCATTTGAAACCCCATCTTCAGTGGTTCTGATGAACCACTTCCCAGCTTCTCTGGCCTGCAGGAAACTTCAGAGTGAACTTCATTAAGAAGAATCAGAGCTCCTTGAAAACTGACTCAGTTTATTAAACTGTTTCTTGATTAAGGAGCAACCTACCCAAAGGGATTCAATGCTGAATCTGCTACATATGCAGATGTCCTGAGCTACCAATGCAGAACTAACATGCAGCCTCTGGGTACATATTCACCAAGTAATGTAGCTTGGATTTGCTAGGAAGAGCGAGGAATGCAGCGCTAGAAGCCTGCGGTGTGCTTAGAGACACGACACAATGTACATGTGATAGTACAGTGACACTGCAGAGCCCATTCCCAAGCAGCTATTTTATGGACAGTCTAGCCTGAAATAAAATCCAAGCAAGGTGATTATTCCAGAAGGAACTAATGTTATTTTAAAACAATACCGAGGTGAGGGGCTTGCTCCAGAATGGCTCCCTTCTACTGAAACAGCAGTTCAAGCAGGGATCTGTACCCATGTGGGGAAGTAATCTCTGTAGGCTGGATGAGTTATCTGCTCATAGTATCCTGGTTAGGATAAGGATTTGTCACCTTTTCTCCCCTTTGCGACATTGTCCTTTGTGTGCACCTTGTTTCTCTTGGAGTTATGTTCACCCTGTTTATTGCTCAGTGCTGCAGTACCTTTTTTCCCTGGAGACATCTCTGGGCCAGTTAGCATTCCAAGATGGGTATCTGTGGAGGAGATAGCATTACTTTCCGAGGACGACTCCTGAGATTAACTCATCTCAGTGCTGAAGAATCCATAGATCTTGGTGGTTTCAAATGTTGTGCTCGTGTGCTTCCTTGGTTTGCGTTTCCTTGATCCACCTGTCTGTAAAAGCAGTGGTAGGTCAGGGAGTATGCTGACAAGATGGCGTGAGGTCATCCTTGCCTGCATCTCAGAGTCTTGTCCCGACAGAGTTACTGCTGACCCCACACAGCGTGGATCCAGGAACAGAGGTCTGGTTGAAGTGTGGGCATGCCTGCATCTTAACCCCCAAGCTAAATTTACTGCTGCGGAATCTGTGCTACCCAGAGAAGCTGCTACATGTTTGCATCGCTTAAACCTAGAGGTGTTCTGTGGCCTGTTGGGGTGCTGGGAGTGAGGTGCGAAGGTATTAACCTGCTACTTCATCTGCAGATATTTGATACCCCTTTAAGCCCTGTGAAAAGTCTCCTACCCCCATCCTTGCATCCTGTGCCATCAAGAAGGTCCTGGGTGCCAGCGAATAGAAAGCTGCATTGCAGCGGCAGTTTCCTTTCCCCCATTTAGCTGTTGTCTTAATGAGTCCTAATTATGTACTGCATAGGTGAGTATAGAATACCCTGATCCACATCTGGATTTATAGCTTTTCCTAAAGTTTTCGTTCAATCACAGATGTTTTAACTATAAATTATATCTCTTTTTCTTTCAGTACTATTATTGGTCAGGTAATTAAAGGGAACTGAAGTACGGGTCTGGAGAGAGGAGGGGTTTTATCAATGCTTTTAGGTAATATATGTCTATATTGAATTTCTTCAAAAGAAATTTCCACCTTTAGTATGCTGGAAAAATATTTTATAAAGATTCAGGATAACTGTTTGATGGATTTAGAGTTCTTTAACATACACGTAAGAGAAACAGGATTTGTTAGATTTCTCATGTCCTTTTAAACTCAAATGTCACATCTTGCTGTCACCATGGGAGAGTGGAATTCCCGTCAACTGGTAGGTGAGAAGTGGGAAGAAGTAAAGTGTTCAAGAACGGTTTCAAAGTATTGATGATCCTGTTAGTCCCAAAGTAGGTTCACCAAGTGGGTAGCGACAGAACCCTTGGTATTGGAGGAAAACATTGCGGAACGTGGCAACACTTGTTTGATCTGGATTAATGTTTGTTGTGTACTAGAGCTGCTCTGGCAGGCCATGAACAGCTTCTGAAAAACGCTGGAGTCAACAACTTGACTCAGTTTTTAATTTCCTTTCAGTGAAGAGCCTAATGCTTTGATACTGTTTCAAACATTCAGGTTTATTCTTCTGAGCAGGGATGCTTTAAACACCAGAAGTGAGCAACACTCAGCAGCCGAAGTTGATTCACAATGAACTCACAGGACTGTCTGGTTAGCACTCTGAAGTTCCTGGCACTTAGAGGGATGTAAACGCCAGTGTACAGATCTGTCTGCTATATGCTTTATTTAACAATGTTTACTCTTGTTTGCAGATCGCTGGATTTCTTGCCCTATGTTTTCCAGCTGTTTCCAGTACGTATAACTAAAGTTTTGAAACCCGTGTGCATGTGTATGCGTGGTGAGGTGGCAGCGCAGTGCTTGGCCAGTGTGGTGATGTGACATCCCAGTCAGTGACTCCCTGTGCTGTGGCCAGTTACCCCTTGGCCTCTTCTGGCCTTCACATGTTGCGTTCCTAAGTCCTCTGTTTGTTCCATAGGGACTCTTCTGAGATGCAGATTTAGAAAGCAAATGTCTCAAATTCCTTCAAAATCACGTCTAGTTTCAGACTGCACTTAAGTTAAACATAAAATCAGGGCAAACACATCAGACGAGATGGGGTGAAAGCCTAGAAAACAGCAGTTTGAAGGAAATCCATGGTATTCGCCTGTGGGCTACACAGGGGGGTTATGTTTAGGGCAAAGCAAATGTGCAGCAAATAACGTGGATTTATAGTGCAGTAGTTGTTTCACCCTAACGCCCCAAGTGATGGGCCTCTGTCTGAGCTAACCAAGCGCACTTTCCAAGACCTCCTCAGTGCACACTGCACCGTGTTGTAAATTCACGTGACATGCTGCAGGGTAACACCCCTTAGGGACAGGTCCTGGTACCAGAGACACGACTTGACTCAAAATATCAGCGTGTTCAAAGATCTGCTTACCACCAGGAAAAGTGAGTATGCAAAATACTTCAGCTCTTGAAGTGATGCTTCAACTTCTCCCAGTGAAGGGCTGGAGAGAGCTGGTGGAAGGGAGCGCTCGAACAGCTTCACGTGGGTGAAGTTACCTGTGGCATGCAATTTGTCTGCAGAGGATGCTGTCTCATCTGGGAGCCTTAAGTGGAGGTGCCTGCATTCCTTTGCACCTCTGCAGCCCTTGCAGCACAGGTCTCTGAACAGCTGCATTGGCTGTCCACGCGGCATGTATGTACCCCGTACCCCACACATGCCGGCAGTGCCAAATTTGGGACAGGCTGGACATGAGTGTGTGTGTACAAACTCTTGCTCATCAGGGCCACTGTGTGTGTGGTGCAAAGGACCTCTGTGCCTGCCCACTGCTGTTTGTCTTTACTGAGGGAGCTAAAAGACTCGTTTCTGTGAGCCAACCTAACGCTGAGCTCATCAGTTCCTTTGTGTTGCCCCGGCATCAAGCCATCTAGGCAGAGCAGTACTTGGGGTGTACGTACACTGTAAGCGCGGTGTTCAGTTTGTGTCTGCCCCTTCTGCTCAGACGCTTGTGCATAATGCTTACTTTGGGAGCACTCAGAACCTTTTTTGCACACCTTTTTCAGGACAAAGACTTCTGTGTCATCCTCGTGCCACATCATGTACCAGAGTTCCACCTGATCCAGAGTTTTGTGCGGGTTGTCCCTTTCTTTACGTCCAAGCTTGGCCGTGAGCTTTACGTGTTCCACCGTGCGGGATTGCTCATGTGAGTCGCGTGCCCCATGACAACAACCCATGTACTCGAACTGCTGCTGTGGATATACCGCCTCATCCACTGCAGCCCCAGAGGGGTATTCCTGTGCTATCTGGGAGCAAGACGGTGTTCTGCATGATATGGCACAACATCCTGCAAACACAGTGGCAGAGTCCCCAGAACAGTGCAGTGGGATAGCACAGGACCGTGTCTGAGGCAATTAGGAGCTGAGCTGGTTCCTGCAGCTCTCTTGCCTCCTGTTCTGGAGTGAAGCCTATGTCATTTATCTTTTATGCTTTGTGTGGAATCATTTATTTGTATATATTCCTTATTCTTCATATTTTATATTGTTTATATCTCTTTGTGTTGAATCATTGCAATTTCTGTGATATGCTGGATGCTTCTGCAGCCTGAAATACTGGTGAACTGGGGCACACAAACCTCTCTTGCTGTGACTTCTGTTACGTGAGACGAGCTTTCCAGTGCTTTGTTTGCCTAACAGGCCTGCACTGGCCCAAACACCAACCTGAATTTGTGGGACAGGTAGAGATTTCCCTGTGTTTGGGTGTTTTTTCTTAGTGTAACTAAATATTGCATACTTTCAGAGAAATACTTCTGCTTTAATTGCGTACTTAATCACCTTTGATGGTGTACAAATAGCTCACGCAGGACCTGGCCAGTGACTCTTGGACCTGTGCAGAAGCTTTTTACTAGGGGACGAAACAGGGCTTCTGTGTACAATGGGAGAGTCCAGCTGGCTGGAGAGGAAGACACTGGAGTAATTCCTGTTAACCTCGGCCGCAGCTGCTTGGTAATCCACCAGTAGGGTTGGTGTTCACACATCCTCTTGCACTTTTGGTCACAATTAAACTTATCAAGGGTTTTTTGAAAACCCCTTATAATTCTGATTAAATTGTGCATATTCCAAATTGTACCAGCCCTTCCATAAAAACAGAGTAGGGCCGTTAGTAGTGTTTTCCAACTCCCCCCATGCAGCTGTGCAGGAAAGTAAGGGGAAAGAGCCTTTCATTGAGGTTCAGGGTCAGAAAAGCTGTAGAAGAAACCAGATGAAGCTCTTGGAAAGTTTGTGTGGCACAAAACTCAGTGTGCAACAGCAGATGCTCTCTGATAAAACCGAAAGAGGGAACAGTGGAGGATCAATATATTGTACTTGCACCAAGGGCTTTTGAAAGGCACGGGAGTGACAGAGAAGTCACAGAAAATGGATTAGAAGAAAAGCAGGGGTAAGAAGATGGGAATAGGGACATGAAAGGGCAGAATCAGAAGAGGTGCAGTCACAAAATGAGCTGCTGATTAGCAAAGGTTGTAAAGGGAATAAGGAGATGTGTGAAGTACACAAAAAGCAAGAGTGCAGCAAATGGAAGTGCAGGTCTGCTACTTAACAGTGCAGGAGAAAAAAGAATAGGTGACGAGGCAGAGGCTGCAGTGCTTAATGGATACTTTCCCTCAATTTTCACTAAAAAGCGTAATAATAATAATAGCATCCTGCTCTCTGAGCAGTCAAGGGAATTGGGCATCTAGAATGAGTTAATTCATTGCTGGAGGAGAAATGAGCACAGGCCTTAGATGGACCTTCCTACTGCTTCATGCTCACACTGGATCTGGTGCATTGGGTTGGTTTATACAATTGCATTTTTTCCATGTTCTGATTTTTGGGTCATATTAAAAATGTAGATCAGCACTGGCACAACTGCCCTTTCTGGGACACACTCAGAGGAGTGGCGGGACAGCACACTCCTGGGTTGCATCTTTCTGGGCACCATCCTTGTCTCTGGTTGGGTCTCGCAGTTAGCCGTGGAAGTGTGTTCACAAATGTGGACACTCAGCTGATGCCTGCTTAAAAACCCTCATGCTTCAAAAAACTCCACAAAGTCAGCCTCAGTGTGACTGACGTAGGCCGGAGAACAGCACATACATGTTTAAATTGGAAACAAGAACAACAGAGGTGAAGACTAAACGGTGTGAATCGCAAGTTTTCAGCGGTGGGTGCGAGAAGTGAATTCTTGGGAATGAAGTTGTGATTTGGTTCCTTGTACTCTGTAAGTCCTTACTGTGTGAGCCCTGTTTAGCCAGGAAGAGCCGATGCCTTTAACAGCCAGCATGACGGTTCCTCTGCTGTGGCATTCTTCCACCGTGTCACTGTTGTGTGATTGCTAACTGGCAGCCTTATGTTTATCCAAGGCATTCTATTTGTGTAAGCTTATCCTCATGGATTACTGTGTGAGGAATCGAGGCCTAACTAATTACTAATGTTAGTAATTTGGTCTTGGTGGAGAAACTGATGTTGCTGCCTTTCTTTTATACCAAACCCAAAGATGACAGTTGGCTCTGTTTGCTGCTTTTATTTTTTCCTCTCTCTCCTTTTGTCTTTTTTCTTGTCTTTCTATGTTTCTTTTTCTTCCCCCCCCATATGTGTCAGCGTGCAGTTATGGATTCTACTTCCATTTTAAAAGATTCTCTGTCGTCTTTCTCTGCTGGCTCTTACTCACATGAGGATTAGGTGATACCTGTAGTTACAGCTAGTCCTTGCTTGGTGGGAGGGGGATGTAGGTGCAGAAAGATGCTTTAGTAGCGGTCAGAACAGCGTTCTTGGGCTGCCTTCTGTAGATGTTGCATGATCTTGTGTGTTACCATGCACAAAGTTGATATATGCCTTGGAAACAACAGCCGTGTAGCGATCAGTCTCAACTTCTATAGGACGTGCCCAGTGCTTGTGGAAGGTGTGACTACTTAAATACGGAAATTGTTGTCTTTAATTGGTCACAGAGAGAACTTTTACTCTTTTCTCCTTTTTTTAACAGGTCATTTAATGTAAGAAAGGCAACAACTGATGACCTACATGATGTCAGAATGCTCATTAAAACCCTTCATTTGAGTGGAAGTATATTGAACGACTTGCAGACCTTTACCCTGGCTCGCAGGGACCCGGTGAGTGTTTATTGCAAATATACTTACAAGAGAGCGGATAAATGCTGGTAAAAGCATCCATTACTACACTACTCTAGTTTACTGTATACAGTACCAGCAGTTGGTGTAGATCGTTAAGCCAAGCTGTGGCCTGTCCCAAATACCCTCCCTGGGGACTGCTCCACTGCAGGGACAGAGCACACCGGATGCATTTCTTTGCCACCCACAGCCTGGTTTGTGTCACGGCTTTTTCTTGCACACACATGTGGTTGTGGGACGATAACGTTCTTGTGTTTTGTCCCCTGGTGGGTGCCTCTTATCCCTTCCCCCACTGTGGCCAGATGTACACCCATCAGACAGCAGGGAACACTGTGTTTTTAGTGTGTAGACAAGAGCCCAAGCACCGTCATTGCCAGTCACATATCTGTTCTCTACAACCAGTGATAGAGAATATAGGTTGTAATTAATATATGTTGCTTTTGCCTTGCAGGATGGGACCCCAGTACAGGCTTTTGTAGCAGAAGTTTTGGATCAAATAGTTGGCATTTCTGTCATTAGAGATGAAATGGTAAATTCAATTTCAGTGTTGAACAAAACCTATAGTGTTAGCCCTCAGCACTAAAGGCTGAGTTTCATGCTTGTCGCTGTACGTGGCAAAGTAAAAGATGCTGCTTCTACAAACTTCCTTTCTGACTATGTAGACTATGTTATTTCCCTTCTAGTAGGTGATGGTGGACACACAGATGAAAACAGATCATCCCGTTATGCGCAAGAAGCTGGTTCTTGCAAGACAGTGTTGCACATTGTTCTTGAAAAGTCAGCATTCCTTAAAGCTTAATTTGCGTCATTCTGCTACGGCTGGAAAGGCAGAGTTTTAGATTTCTCAGCCGCTGTAATGGTCAGTTTTTACAGAAGTCACTCCTACTTTCAAAAATAGCTCTTAATATAATGAATAGCATTGAGGTAAGAGGATGTAGCAATGTCTCGCACGTATAAATGTGCAAAAATCTTAGCTGGTCACTTCCGCAGGGAAGGGGACATTTCCTACACAGCTCTTCTCCTTCAAATTCCCCCTTTACAGCATAATGTTTGTGAGAGGACACTCCAGGCTTCTCTGGATTGAACTCGGCCGAACAGAGGGGTTTCTCTTTCTTTTCCTCCATGAATGTCTGTTAACCTGTGTCAGACGTTGGTGCCAAACACCAACGTCCCTGTAAATAAAGGTGGACGAGCTGTGGGAATAGATTTTGATATGGGATTTTAAAGGAAAATGTCATTGAGCTTTAATTGGGAATAACCCTCAGGCACTTAATTGCAGTGCTCAGCCTTAGTTCCCAAACTGGTAGAAAGCAACTCACTGGCACTCGCTAACATGTTAAAATATAGGTGTTTCCTCGCTGCTAATTTCCGGATTTTTGTTTTCCAGGATATTGAGTATATTCGATCCCATTACAACATCGAAGATTTCATCCATTTCAATCACCACCAGCAGGAGGAACATGGGCATCTTCACCACTTTGTCCTCAATCCTATATTTCGTCACTACTCAAAACACTTCCTAAAGGAAATTCTTCGCTTGGCCCACAAATCTTCCCTTTACTATCCTATTTACCCACAGGGTGTGGGAGGCAAGGTAAGGAGGAAGTCACTTGTGTTTCTTGTGTTAAGTTCTGTCACCTTTGCTCACTTTATTTTTCTCCATGCTTCTGTGAATGACTGTGGAGTTTTCTTAGCAGGCTGCAGCAAACTGTACTTTCTTGGATGCCGCAGCCTGCACTCATGAGCTCAGCTCTCAGCAGGGTTTGTCCGCAGCGTGCTCAGTAGCACCTGGGAGCCCAGGTGTAGCCAGTATCCTCAGGAAGCGTGAAGAGGAGCAGAGATTTGAAGTGCACTTGGCCTTGGTTCGTTACCGGGTCTGTGAAGCTCTGGGAGCTCTTCCCAGGGGTGGCCTCTGAGCTGAGTCACTCCTTGCAAATGTCTCTCTCAATTGTCTGTAGAGAATCCTGGGGCAACTGTTCTCTAAAGGTGTTAGACAGGTTAAGTTACATGCATTAGTGTGTTGTCCTAGGAGCAACACAGCAGAGGAGTAATTTGGTTGCTACCTCCTCACCTATTTCTGGGAGAAGTGTGTCTGCTTCTTACCCACGAGGCTTATGTCTTTTGTGTTAGCCCCTCCGTGGATGTGCTGTAATCAAGTTTCTGCCCTTTCCTGTCCATTCCCAATAAATTGGTTCTAGGATGAATTAGCAAGCATCCAGTATTCCCACTCCTGCCCAAGTCAGGACCCCGTGTCTGAGCTGTAGACTGTAGTTTGGGTTCGACTCTGGTTCTTGCCGTTGTGTCGGACGTACAGAACAAGAGACTCACAACTCATCAACTGAGCAGACCAACACAATGGTTGTTTACTTGTTAACATGCTGATAGCCCAGGTGTCCTTTTGTCCCTGTCGGATCAGCTCCAATCGGGTTTTACATGACAAGGTGTAGAGCAGGTATCCTGTCTTTGTATTTAACAGTGACTTGTCTTTCATGTCGTAGTACAGTAACAGACCCTGATCAAGTCACACTCTCCCACGTAACATGGCATGAGCAACTGCAAGGGGTTGGTATGAAAACCACAGTCAGGTAGCTTGTGAGACTTCTTCAGCAGTGGTGTAGGCCCTCTGGGCTGTGTTTCTTCAGCTGTCAGTGGGACCTGGGCACCTCGGTGTCGTTGGAAAGGTGACTTGTGTTTCTGCCAGTGCCACGGGAGAACCCTAAGAACCTGGTGCTGTGTGAGAAAGTCCATTTCGGAGATAAACGTAATCTGTGGAAGCAAAAGAAAAGATTCTTTCAGAAATAACTCGTGTGTGTCTTGTTATCAATCTCCTCTTGGAAAACGGAGCAGGATGTACAGTTTTCAGGCATGTCAACTCATTGATGTGTAGCCATCTAAATCTGCTCGCTGGCCAGCCTAATTGCCCAGGTTCCTGCCAGCGTTAGCAGAAAAAACAGGGTGCACCCCGAGGGCAGCTCATCCATCGATCACAATACCTGTCTCCGGGGGGAAAGAATTGCCCTCCAGAGATGCTCGTCTCGTGCTGGGTGTGTCCACGTGGCTAGCTGTGGTAAGCACCTGGCTGTTAGGTGCTGACCGAGCTCAGATCTGTCCCCAGTGACCTCAGAGTTGTGGAAATCGCCCTGGTGTTAGGACAGGGATTGGGACAGGTTAGACATCGGTCTGTTGGCAGCAGGATGATTTTTCCTGTGCGCTTTTGTGGAGTTCTGTGAAGGGTTCTCTTGAGGATCCAGTGTCCTTCCATAGCAGTAAGAGGCACTTAGAAAAATACAGTGTAATGGCAGGGCTGGAAGAGAAAAGTTGTATCTTACTAATGATTCCCGTTGGCTCTATTTTCCGGCTACAGAGTCCCTCTAAAGTACTCTAGCTTATTGCTTTCTTAATAAGTGGTTAATGTGGTATTTCGCTCAGTTCTCAACATAGTAACAGCAAGCTTGTTCAGTATTTGTGGACAGAACAGTGTAATTTAGTTTGCATTAATGTTCATTCTTTATTTCCTGTAATTCCCCAGGTTTTCCCCTGCCTTTCCTGCTCTATGAGGGAGCCACTCATGCTGCCATAAGCGGGATGCAGCTCTTGCTGATGATCCACGCTATCTGCATTAGCACTGGGGGTTTGTTCACTCCAAGTTTATGCCAGTTTATTAACATTTATCACTTGGATGAGACTGACATTTTGGTTGGTATAGAATTCCTATATAAATTCCTAAGCGTTCCTTGCCAGGGAAGCAAAGGTTAGCGGTAAGCAGATAACAGAGCTTAATGAGGTCAAATCAAGCTGATTCATGATCGCTACGGAGAAAAATATCCTCCCGGGGAAAATACTTGTGCTGAAAAATCCCATAAACCAAACCACTTGTTTATCTGTCATTCCCACAGAGATAGTAATGTAATTACTCTCATAATTATCATTAGTGTCAGGCATTATCTGCAATTCATTCCTCTGCTCTGAGTATGTTTGTTTATTTGCTGATTTTTCTCTCAGATTTAGCCAACTGAGCTAAGAATTTTGTATTTGCAAAGCCGTACGAGGGACATCTGCGCTGCACTGGGCTGACATTCGCGCTGCTGAAATATAGATCGCTGTCTCTCCCTTTCAGAATCCCTGCGCCCATTCCCTGACATCTGCCCTTCATTACATGGTTCCCGTGCGACCAAGACGACAGATTTTCTATCCTCTGGAAGAGCTTGGCATGAACGCTCCGTCGGAGCAGGTCTCCAAGGATCAGGTGGGTAACAGAAGCAGCAGCAGGAGAGAGGCGTGGTGCCAGCTAGCGCGGGGTTTGGCAGATGGGCTGGCATTACCATTGTCGTGGTGATAGGTTGCTTCTTAATCACACTGAACATGATGTCCGTGCTGTCCAGCTTTGCTTCTGCACAGCCATCGCTGCGTTAAAGCTTGGGTTTCAAATGCGTTAGACAGCAGCCACTGAACCATCCCGTTTGCATACCAAATGCTTCATTTTAACAGTGTTTTCTCATGACGCTCCTTTCAATCTCCCAGCACATTTTCAGCGCTCTGGATTACCGTTAGCCTGTCTTCCTGATCAGTTCACATAGGTATTACACTCTGCAAGTGGGCAAAACACAATGTCATCCTTCCAACTTACCTCTCTAGAGTTTGCTTAAGGAAATGTTATTTTCCAGTCCCAAAGTCAGGTTTCTTCCACACATGAGATAGCCTCAAAGAACACTTCAGAATACCTAGAATGATTTAACAGCAAAGGAAAAGGTTGTTTTCGCTACCAAAAGATTGTTCCCACTGCCAAACAGTTATTTGCGTGGCGCTCATGCAGGCTGGAGGTTCTGAGCTAAAAGCCTCTTAGAATGTCGTTTGCTAAATAACTTACACCTTATTCTCTTACATTTTTGAGTATCTAAAACTCGGTGTGAAGATGGTTCCTCGCAAGACTAAGGAGCAAGGCTGAAATATTGGGGAAAACCCCGTTAGCAATGGACCCTCAGTAGGCAGCTGTAATTTCCTAATGAAGCACCATTAGGGAGCTTTATGTCTGCCTGCACATGTCCAGTTGGCTGAGAGGGGCTCTCGTATAATATTTTTAGTGCTGTCCTTTTCGCAGTTAGTCAGTAATTGTTGGCATCTAAAACTCTTAATTAGGCAGCAGTTGGCAAAGCAAAATGCAGAACGTAGCTGAGACCGTTGTCCTGAGTTCAGCTTTGTTGAACAGTCCGTCCTCAACATGCGAATTCCTGCCTTCCTCTCCTCTACAGAACAAACTATCTGATGCTTCTCTTCGAAGATAGCATAGGAAAGAGTTTAGCTGTCACTCTCTCACTAGGAGGGCTGCTCTTAGAATTTTTGTTGGAGCTGGAAAACCAGAGACTTCCCACATCTGAGAGATTTGCAGATTTGTTGTCTGCTCCATTCCCAGGTTCTTCCTGAGGATTTCTGATCATTGTAGGTAGTGAAATAATTGTTTAAAATCTCAAAAGTTGAATGAATTTCTATTTAATAAAATGTGTTAGATTTTCACAGACTGGTTTGGGCGGGAAGAGGCCTTAAAGTCCACCCAGTCCCACCCCCTGCTGTGAGCAGGGACACCTTCCACTAGACCAGGTTGCTCCAAGCCTCATCCAGCCTGGCCTTGGACACTTCCAGGGATGGGGCATCCACAGCTTCTCTGGGCAACCTGTCCCAGTGCCTCCCCACCCTCTCGAGGAAGAATTCCTTCCTGATATCCCATCTCAATCTCCTTGCTCTCAGGGTAGATTTCAAAGACATAGAATCCCAGTCCAGACCCTGAGTAATGCCATGGGCATGGTCTCCACTCCCTTTGTACCTGTTGCTAACAGGGTTTAGCTGTGAGGGGCGAGGGTTGGCCACTGTGTAAGTATCCCTGCGTATGTGCTGGCATTAATTACACATTTCTGACAGATTGTGTCCACTCAGAACCGGCATCTGGGGTTGATCCCCAGGTGGTAATAACGCTAGTCCACTGTTGCTTCCTGGAGTTTTCTGAAATACCAGGAATTTGAAACCATATAAAGCTAAATTGGCTCTTTTGAGTGAATGAAATGACCTTTGGGCCACGTGTGCTGGGAGAGCTTTGTAACTTAGAAGGTACCATACCACAGGGGACCGAGTGTCTCTGTAAACGTAAGAAGCCGGTGCTGCTTTTAGACCATGGAGGTTTTGTCAGCTCTGGTATTAGCTAGGCATAAGACATCTGCTCTCTCTCTCTCCACTCTGATATGTCAGAAGGGAAGATTGGTCCCATCAGTAACCTTGCACTGCAGAATCCTGCTGCTAGGTTGCAAATAAAATGGGGTGTGTTTTATGAAATTCATATAATGAGATTTCAGTAGGTACCAAATTATTATGCTTCTCACTTTTTGTAGCCAGCAAAGGGCCTGCTCAAACACTCTGTGAACATAAATACACAATCCTCTTTGCATACTGAAAAGAGCAGAATGTCCCACTGCGGAGTTAAATGGGATAACTCTGTGAAATGGAAAGGCCGAGAATTGTCAGCATAAGAAGTACTGTGAGACAAGGTGGGACACGGTTTGGTTGTAGAAGATGCTGGTGGGCTAGGGAGTGAGGGAAAAGGGAAATGGGAACAGTGTCGTAAGGAAAGCAGGGAGGAGAGAGGGAGAAGAGGGAAAGGCAAAGCGGCTGGGGTAGGACTTAGTGGGAAGTTGTGTGAGAAAAACAGTCAGGAGGAGCTGTCTGCTGTCACCTTTGCTGTGGTGGTTTTAAACAAGGTAGGGGCAGAATTTTGCAGGATCTTAAAAGCTTTGGGCCAGGATTCCAGGGACTTGAGGCCACTCCTCATTTCTTTGCCACACTTGTAGCTCACCAAGCTTCTTTTGGCTGAGGGGGCTCTGCCTTCTCCTACTGGAAAGCACTTCTTCCTGCCATCAACCCAAGCCCGCTTTGTTCCTGAGAGCCGAGGGCTGCTTGTTCCCATAATTCTCATTTTGGATGGCTCTGCAGTTATGGCAGCGCTTTCTCACGTGAGCTACAGCACAGCGCTTGGAAGTGCCAGTGCGCTTCTAAAAGGCAGTGTTTTCATTTGCCTGCCAGTCCTAATGAATTGCTCGAGTATCTATCACTTATGATGGAGATGAAATGAAATTCTGGTTTTGTTACCCACAAGATGCCCCCTGATACCTAGATATCAACATCTGCTTCTCATATACTGCTTTTCTCGGCTGCTTTCCTCTTGTTCCATCCCTTTTTGAGCTCCAGCTCTCCTTTTCCCACTGCAAAATGCATTTTTCAGCCATAACAGCTTGGGGCTCAGCAGCTCAGCTGTTCAGTGTCGAAGCACAGCTCTTGATTTGTGCATAAATCCCTCTGTAGTGGCCTAGTGTCTCAGCGGGCACTCAGTAGGAGCCCTGGGGCTCAAGCACTCTGTGTATCTCTTTAATAGGCTCCAGCCTGCTTGTGAGCATGAGGAGATTCGCTTACAAATACTGACCCAGCACAGATAACTCAGCCAGCACCCACAGGAGCTCTTTCACGTTCCCTTCCTCCAAAGCCAAGAGCCAAAGCAGCAGTCTAAATCGGGAAAGCTTTGCCCTCGGCTAATTCTCATGCATTGCCAACCCAGACAGATCTCGATGGTGCTGGAGAGCTGGTTTTCCTGCAGGCCTGGAGCGGTTGTTACAGGCAGATGAGCACCAGAAGTGCTGTCTGTGGTAACTTGTTCTTGTCCCTCTGTCAGCTATGTCTGCCTTACTGCCGTGTCTGGAAAAAATCAAAAAGGGGGAAACCCCCTCATCATCTTGCCCTTGGGCAGTGTTGTTTCTAGTTTGAGCTCTTGCTCTGCGTTGCCTCTTTGCTTATCATGAAAATCGCTGTGAGTCCAAAGAAACAGAGACTTTAGGAACTCAGCCTGTTCCTCCTCTCTGCCCCTTAAACTTGTGGTTTAAGGCAACCACAAGTGGCTTTCACCTTAAACCACAGGTCTGTGCTGCTTCATCTCTGCCTCAGGAGACCTGTAGCTTCCCAAGCCCTGGCTCTCCATTTCCTCAAAGGCTGCATATTCCTACGAACTCAGCAATACCGTCCCGCAGCAGCCACTAACACCAGAAGATGCTTTTACCCCACGCCTTGAGAGGGCAAATAACATTCTGCTGCTGTCTGTTCCTACAAACCCCTTTCTCCCATTGCTCCCCAGAGGAGATTTGAATGGGTCAGGTAAGGATTGACTGAGAAGGCACAGAGGGGGAGGCGGTAAACTCCTGTCTCCGGTTGCAGCCCTCTGGAATGGCGCAGGTGCTAACGATCTTACTGCATCCAGTCCTGGAGGCACGCAGCCTTGGCGATGGCTGTTCAGCCTGTGCCTCTGCAGCAGGCCTATCTGGAGGTTCCGCGTGTGAGCTCGGCATTGCATCAGGCCATACATCTGCTGTGCTCTAGGGTTTCAGGACAGAGACCTGGAAAAGCTCCTGTCTGCTCATTAGATCAAACGCTTTCTGCAGCTGCTCCAAATCAGAAGGAAATCTCTGATTTTTTTGTATTCCACACCAGTTCCCAGTATTGAAGCGCCAATTGGCAGAAGATCCAAAGATTCAAAATCTTAATTCCCGCAGTGTTAAAACAGATTAGGTTATTATTGTGTTTCACACATCTGTCAGCCATTTTGGTCGTGTCCCATTAAAAACAGTTGCTTACCACAGAATACTAAATATCTTATAAAGTGCTGCTGGCCTCTACAGTGCATGTAATTGTTGGTGGAGTAGAAAACTGTAGATAATTAAATAATTTTTAATGATTCTTCATAAATAAACAATTTATAAACTTGTTTGCTTTCTCACCATCTGGGAGCATTCTGTTATCCATCTGCTTCATGTAATTATCAATAAAAGGGAAGAATAGGTGATATAATTAACTAGAATAACTGATCCACAATGAGGAACAGAAATGTCACACATCTGTTGAATTATTTTCATGTTTCTGCCCTTCTATTATTCATGCTGCTGGGTTTATTTTTTATTTCCTGGCTGCATTCAAGCTGTCAGGTGGGTTGCACAGTTCAGAATTGCTTTTTCTGCTCTGTCTCGGAAAGGCAGGACAGTTATTGAAGCCTTGCAGAAGCCCCTACAGCATTGCATATATTTATTTGGGGGCAAAACCCCAAACCCATTGCTTTCTCAGTTTTATACTTGTCGAGTGATGCCTCAGAGGCGTTACGGGAAGTGTTTAAGTCGGGAGAAAAGTGGCAGGTGAAGGAGAGTCAGGGCAAGAGCTGGAGTCAGC